TATAATTTATAATACTTAGCACATGTATTTTTATAGGTTCATAATAACGACAATGAACTTAAAGATAAGTTATACTTAAATTAGGGTAAATATAACTTACTTACAAAGGGGTTTAGCTAGAAACCAGGCTCTGTAGGGACATAACATCGTCATTAAGCCTTTATAAAAAAGATTTTTGCTACGCTTCATTGCTCACTTTACTATACTAAAAGTACAAAAAGAGAACTCGAATCACGAGGGACCGAAATGTTCGAGGGATAAGAAGAGAAAAACTCTTGAATCAAGAGAAATGTACAAGAAATACGAGAGCCTTGAGGCTCTTATTATAGTAATGGAATTTTGAAAAACTAGCCTCTATAGTAACTTCATGACCTTATAGTTATTTAAATTACTAAAAACTCCTTTATAATACTATTTTAAATAGATTTAACAATATTTGTACTAAACTAATGTCGAAAGTACTTAACACTACTCTTATAATAACCGCATCGTCGATACATTTCTAATTATATATACATATGTAGATGCATACATATATATATATATATATATATATATATATATATATATATATATATATGATTTATACTTTATTTTAATATGTAAATATGCTATTATAAGTGAACTCTGTTTTTGACGTTCTTTATATCCTCTCGTAGCAATCGACAAGATCTACAATCTTCATTTAGACTCCGTCGACTAATTTTGACTTTATTTGTCTGTCCATATTTTATAAAATTAAATGATTTTGCTAAAATCATAACTCTCTCGTACGGACTCAATTTTTGACATTCTTTTTTCTCAAAATTTCTATTTTAAGGAGTACTACGATTTTCTTTTTGGCGATATTACCAAAAGTCAACCATTTTCTTCTTAGCTTTTTATGTCACACATTCCTTGTGCACGACTGACTTTTATATCTTATAAAAATCATATCTAATTCAAATGGATTCAAATTTCAACGAAATTTATATTTTCGGGATCGGGATGATGTGTACCTTCTAAATATATAATAATATATACATGTTTTGGCGCATTTATTTTTACTATTTACAGACGATTCGACTGATTTTTCCTATTTTTTTTTATATTATAATAATCATGAAACACATAATATTCACATAATTCTTCTTTATTACGTCAAACAAGTTACAATTGTTGAAACTTACTATTACTTTGGTTAAGATAATTTATCCTAGATAATCTTTTATAAAAAATCCTTTTTAATGCTTATTATATCTTAATTGACTAGTCTGATTATGCAAGTGTTACAACCATGACTTGGGATGATTTTGTGACCAGGTTCTGAGCAGAGTTCGCACCGGCTATCAAGGTGCAACATCTAGCGAGGAAGTTTCAGGGCCTTTGTCAGACTATAGAGACTATGGCAGAGATCACCGCCAAGTTCCGGGAGAGAGCTCTATTGGTTCCGCAGTACGCAACAGATGAGGAGATGAAGAAGATGCGGTACCATGATATGCTGAGGGATGATATAAGGGAGTTTGTGACCTTTTAAGGGAGCAAGACCCTGGATGATATGATTGCTAGTGCCTGAGAACGGGAGATTGATTTTAAGCTTCCGAGGAAGTGGAGACCAGTTCAGACACCGACATTTGAAGGGCAAGGATAAAAGGCCCAATACTGCTGACTTATGATTGAGAAGCCATCAAGGTTAGATCCGTTGTGAAAATGTATGATGTCTCGTGGGGGGAGTTATCGTGAGAATGGAGGGAACGACTTTAATTCCAGCTAGTAGGGTCATTACAACAGGGATTGCACTTGGGGAGCACTAATATGATTCTATTACAGTCAATCGAGCTGTAAAAAGGTCGATTTTATGAGGTTGACAGGAGGAGCAGTGGCGGCACCTGCACTAACTACTTTGAGGATTACCGATGGCCACCAAGGAAAGGTGGAGGCTTCTGTGGTGAAGAGCTGGGCATTTCAGTTAATAACTGAGG